TTGACGTTTCAAACGCTTCTTTGATGTNTTCTCCTCTGCAGCTTTCAGTTTCTCTTCTCTTCTTATAGTGAATTCCGCCATTTGTAACCGCTTGTTATAGTCAATATCCATCCTTGTGAGCCGGTCTTGTTCTCTTCGCCTCATTTGCCGATACTGTAACAGAGAGTGATGCATCGTTATCGCTCAAGTCAAGATGTCTAGTAAATATGCAAAAGATGTATACAAGTTCTTTCTGCTTACAACTAAATCTAAAACAATTGCAGCTTGAGGCCATTAAACACTAAAACTGAATCTTGCAGAGCCAAACATGGGAACGCATTCAGCCATAATCGATAGAAGTAACACACTAATCAGCACCGATAAGTTACTACTGCCCAGTGCCCATATGACCCTCCTGCAGATAATACTCCCAGTTCAAGCTCTATCAAACTTTTAACTATGCATGAAGACATTGTGATCCGTCACGAAACTAATAAACAATGCCAGAAAACAGAACTCCACATAGAAAATTCAGATCCCTATAAACATCAATGACACAGAACTTCTCTTAGTTGATAGAAAGTAGCTTTGGAAACCACACATAAGTAAGACTAGGCTTTGTTTGCAATTTTCAATTCCAATGTTCTGATTCAAGTATACAAGTTCTTTCTGTTTACAATTACATTTAAAACAAGTGCAGCTTGAGGCCATTAAACGCTACAACTAAATCTTGCAGAGCCAAACATAGGAACACACTCAAGCCATAATCGATAGAACTAACATAGTTATCAGCACCAATTAGTTACTACTCCTGCAGAGAATACTCTCAGTTCAAGCTCTTTCAAAATTTTAACTACGCATGACGACAGTGTGATCCAACAGAAAACTAAGAAAACAATGCCAGAAAACAGAAGCCCACTAAGGAAATTCAGATCTCTATCATATCAATGACACAGGACTTCTCTTAGTTGATAGAAACCACACATAATAACTACCCACATGAGCCTCCCGCCAAAAATAAAACTCCGAACATCTTTTAATTGATTGCTGGTAGCTACCCCTAACTATTCCTAAGAAAAACGAGACTAAGTGCAGGTAAATCATCTGATTTTTTCAGTCACTGAAGAGGTTTCATGTTCTATCCTCTGCAATTTTCGGTAGCGGAAGTTGAAACACACAAGTCCACAGAGAAAATTAGAATCTTACCATATCAATGACACTAAAGTTCTCTTAATTGCTTAAGGGAAGATTGAAAACAACAACTCTATGCCTAAGAACAAAAGACTAAATTCAGTAGCGAGAATACTCATTTTCGATTCCGGAAGTTGAAAATCGTCAAAAGCCATTAAAGAATAATCAATCCAAGACTCGACGAGAGCTTAGTTTAATTACCTGGTGGAAATCGCCGGAACCAGAACCAGCGGAACTTCCGGAGGTGTTGCTAACGCGAACCGGAACGTTCTCGAGGATTCGCCTGAGCTTTATCTCTAAATCTTCCTCGTCTTCTAGCATCACCGGCGGTTTATACTCAACGATAGACGTAGATCCTCCGTGATCAGTCTTCTTCGTCTCCATTAACGCCGACGCCGTCGTGGCAGCAACCACCAATCGTGTGTCGCCATGCTTTGGCTTCCCGGTCGACATTGTGAAAACCCTAATCCGGTCACAATTGGGGATTTGATTTCCCAGACTCGACCTCCGCGTCAAGATATATTTGAAGGGCTTTATTGGGCTTGGGCTGATATTCTTAAAGAGCCTATCAATACTTTATCACACCACTGAAACTTGACAGAGCTCATTACTTAACGAGTCAGAATATTGATAAGTTCGAAAGTTATCAAGG